ATCCTCCCACCTCAGCCTCTCAAAATGTTGGTATTACAGGTATGAGCCAGAGTGCCTGGCCAGGGCTTTACTATCTGGTCACTGGGGTGGTAAGTGGACCCTGCAGGGAAGGCAGGACTCCGGGTGCCTCAGGACTTTACTGTTTAGTCTCTGGGGATTGTCCATTGCACTCTGATGATCGTCTGTGTCTGGCCTCCCTATCAGACTAGAAGTTTCTTGGGGGTAAAATTTGGTTCTGACTCAAGTCTCTGTCCCCAGCATCTCCCAGCACTGGGCCTGGACCACCAGAGGCCTTGGGAAACATTTGCTGAATGGATGAATATAAATGGATGCCTACAACACTCTTCAACTCTAGAACTCCTACTCATTCTTCAGGACCCCAGTGCAAATGTCCCTTGCCCCAGGAGGACCTTTCTGACTGTTCAAGGCAGAGCCCCCACACCTTTTTCTGGGCACTGTTTGACTTAGCTGAGACAGAGATGAGGAGCTTTGTGAGGGCTTGAATCTTAGCTGTGTTCCCCCAGGATTGGGTCAACCTCAGAACTGGGAAGTGTTTGTGGAAAGGGCATGGATGGTCCTCAAGAGACCAGATAATAAATCCCTGAGGACCTTGAGTTGGAAGGTCAAATGTCTATCCCACCACTTCCTAGCTGGATGATCCAAACTCCTGGCCAGTGTGAGCTTCAGTTTCTCCAACTGTACAAGGTGAAAAATAGTAGTTCTTCCCTGCGAGGGTTTCTGTGAGGGATTCCGTGAGAATATGCAAGCAGAAGTGTTTAGCTCAGCTGTTGGCATTCGGAAAGAACCCAATACATGCTAGCGGTTCCTAACAGCACCTTCTTTTTTAGGAATCATCTATTGCTATCCCTGGCTTGGCAAAGGTCTCCCTAGATGCTCCGCTCAGGGGATCCTGGAAGGCAGGGCTGTATCTGGGCTGTCAATTGCTCTGAGTCATTGACTCCCAGGCAGACACCCTGGTAAGCATCTACTGATAAAACCAACCCTGCATAACCAGGGGGCCCAGGGAATGCAATGTGGCTGCCAGGCAGCTGGGTTCAAGTCCCAGCTCTGTCACTGAGCCACACAAGTTACTTCACCTCTCTGGGACTCAGTTTCCCCATCTGAAATGGAAATGATAATCATGCCTTCCTCATTGGGTTGTGGGGAGGATTACAAGAGGTAATCCAAGTAAAGGTTCCAGTACAGTGCCTGCCAGTTAAGTGCTTGCAAACAGCCACCTGTGAGCTGGCTGTTAGGGTGATTAT